TTTACTTTTCTATCTGAAACAACAGTCTGAATAACAGAAATGACTAATTTACCCCTATCTGCCTTATTTCCAATTTCATTCCTTTTTGATCCTTATGTATAATATCTAAAACAATCAGACCAAAAATTTACGAATTTTGGATGGGCTATTTATCTTGTAAAGCTGAATCCACTATTGCTGTTCATAATCCATCCAAGAAATCTGATAAAATCCATGGAAATGAAGATTTGATCCACAAGAAAATTCAACACTTTGACTACAGCGATTTGGAAGCAGCCACCAATAATTTCTCCGACCAGAAACTCCTCGGTCGTGGTCGTCTCGTCGCCGTCAAAAAACCCTCACACCAAAACAACCACCATTCCGCCCTATCCGCCGTGCCGGAGAATGAAGTTGAAAACGAAATCGACATCCTTTCCAAACTCCATAGCCCTCGTCTCGTTAACTTTTCACAAACACCCCACATCAGAATCTGGCCGGAGAATGAAGTTGAAAACGAAATAGACATCCTTTCCAGTTAAATCCTCTCTTTGGATCGATGGAGAAGAGAGAGGTGCTGTTGGTGGATAAKGGTAGGGCAAGTCTTTTGGCCGGCTTAATCTGGACAAGGAAGGATTTTCATCTGGGCGAATAAGCCCATTTCTGAGCGAATAAGCCCGAGGTAAACAGCCTATTTTGTCTGTGCGAATAAGCCATTTTATCCACTAAGCTCATTAAGCCTCAAGTAAACAGGCCCTAAGAGGATCAGAATGGTTAAGTGCTGAATGAAACAAAGTTGTTTGGTAATTGTTCTCTGAATGATAACAAATTACCATTTTAACCCTAGTTATGATTTAATACTGAATAAACCAACATACAATTACCAAAGAGCCCCTTAGTTTGTTTTGACCATAGTCCATTTGACTAAGACATCCGTTAACTATGTTAAATCAAGTGTTATTTTAACCTTTTACATATTATTTTATCTTTTCTTATAAAAAAGTAAAATAAATACACACATATATATGATGATATCAAATAAAAAAAATAATATATTATTTTATGATTTGATTCATCTCAATTAAATAATTAATTATATTAAATACGATTTAATTTTTTATTGTTTTAATATTTTTACCTATTTCGTTATGAAAACCTGGTTGAAATTTATATACGGATTTGTTTAATTTCAAGTTACAAATATGAAAGTATGCGGATATGAAAGTATGCGGATCTTTCATTATACTTTCATTTTCTTAGAATCTAAATAACTGATTTTGAGTTTTTGAATGGAAAACCATAGGAAAATAAGAAACCCTAATTTTAGGATGATAAAATTGAAGTTCATTTCTTAGCGGTTTTCAATGATTTTGAGGTTTTCATGATACAGTTCAAGATGAAATATAATTGTTTGGTAATTATTTACAATAAAATTAGGACGTTGAGGATGCGTTTGGTACGCTGGACAGGGTGAGACAGGACAGGACAGAACACGTTTGTCCTACGTTTGGTGTGGCTAAATGTGGAACTAAATGGAACTAAGTTGGACAAACATGGGACAGACGTGTTCTCTCTTTACCCCTGGAACTAAGTGGAACACGGTCATTTTTACCACACTACCCCTTCCCCTTTCTTCCCCACATGACACCCCTCCAAAGACGCCACCCATCGCACCCCTAACCTCTCCTTCATCAATTGGCGACCTGCTCCGTTCATCTCATTTCGACAGCGAGTTCCGACTGTTGCTTGCCGGCTCCGTTCATCCCATCGACGGCGACCGACTGTTGCTTGCCGGCTCCGTTCCAATCGACGGCGACCGACTGTTGCTTGCCAGCGAGTTCCAATCGACGGCGACCATCTCATCGAGACGACGAGTTCCAAATGACTGTTGCTTGCCGGCGACCGACTGTTGCTTCTCTTCTCTCCATACTCAGTTACGCATTATCCCCCTCCCTACGTTTGTTTGTCTCTAGCGATAGACTTTTGATTACTCTTTCATCTATTTCGGGGTCGTTTCAATCGATGTATATAAAATGCTTGTAGTTTTTTTTTGAGTTTTTGGTGTGATTAATCGGTAGTCGATGTTCGAATTTAGTTTAGATTAGTTGAATTAAATCTGATTGCTGTTCGTATTGATTGTGGATTGGATTGGAGTGGATCAATTGAGTCTGCTTTTGATTTTTGGTGGTTTGACTGATTTCAGTTCATGTTTGAGTTAAGATTATGATCTTATTTTGACAAATTTGGAGTCAAATGAAGTGGGTTTGACTATTTTTTTGGGGTTTTTTTTGATATTGAAGTTGGATCTTTACTTTTCATTGAGCAAACTAGTGAAAACTGGATCTTTATGTTAAAAGTGGAAAAGGGTTTCCTGAGAAAAGATTGAGGTGAAATGGGGAAGGAGTTTTTCACTTTGGGGAAGAAATTAGGACAAGGGTTTGGCATTACATTTCTTTGTATAGAGAAAGCTACGGGTGAACATTATGCTTGCAAATCGATTGCAAAGATGAAGTTGTTGTCCGAGGAGGATGTGGAGCAGAGAAGAGAACGAGATGGATGACGATTGAAAGAATCGTGATTAGGGTAAATTGGTCATTTTAACACTAAACAGCTCAGGGGGTAAATTGGTCATTTTAA